TGAACTGCAAATTTAAAGCAGCTCGAACAAGGAAACGGTGAGATAAGGGCGGCAATGAGATTCCATCTATCCTTGTGCAAGATACAGTTACATAACTTGTAAAAAGAAAATGATATAGCACTCAGTAATTGTATAAATCAGAGATACAATCTCTATAACACAAAGAAAATAAAAAATCACCCTAAACTAGAAAATAATAACATAAAATCATTCCCTATTAGAAAATAACTTAATTAGAAATATAAAAATAAAAAATAAAAAAATAGAAGATACAATAATACAAAACAAAATAAAAAAAAGAAAAGAAATATGTTGAAAACAGAAAATTTTTTGTGGCGCTATCGGCTGCATTGTAGCCCGAATCATGCGGTCTTGCGTTCCACAATCTGGTATTGTATCAAAAATCACGATTTCCAAGGTCACAGGAGTACTGTGTATTGTGTCTCGTGACGCCAACTCACGCATCAGGTTTCATCTCTCATTACCTTTATTAAACTAAATAAATAGATGAAATATCAGGAATTAATATTTTTCGCCAAATTAGAATATATCAAAGAGGATGTTTGTGATATAAATGCTATCTCTATAGATAATGACTATATTGATTTCTTTCCTCAGAGCTTTCCGATTTAAACTAGAAAAAGATGTTTAAATTTGCAATAGATATTCAGCATGGATTGCCAAGCCACTGTACCAATTGACTACTATGGAATTGCAAAACTTAAAGAGTATGATATCATATTTGAACAAATGGGAATTTATTTGATTGAGCACATCTTCTTGGAGTGCTTCGAACTTGTTTGTCAAAAAGAAAGATGACACGATGTAACTGTGAATAGACTATAGAGGTCTAAATAAAGCCATTATTAAGAATACATATCCTCTTCCAAAGATTGACTATCTGGTTGACTAGTTAGCAAGAGTTTCAACATTTTCTAGAATTAATTTAGGATCTAGTTACCATCAGGTAAATGTGAAGAACATTGGCGTTGAAAAGATAGTAATTGGCAATGAATATTTTATTAAACTTTCTAAACAGACTAATATTCCAACGATATTCATGGATATGATGAACAGAATCTTAAACTCTTATTTGAATCAATTTGTAATAGAGTTTATTGAATATATATTAGATTTGTTAAGAAAGCATAAGTTTGTAATACATATATTCAATGATGATGATCATACACGCATTTGAGAATCATTTTTGGTTTGCTGAAAGAGCATAAGTTGCATGTCAAGTATTCTAAATGTGAGTATTAAGTGAAAATGGTTCTTTTTTTGACACATTACCAGTGATGAGGTATATCCGTAGATCCTGAAAAAATTAGTGGTGGAAACAACGAATTAGGATCGAGGATCAAAATTTTCTAGGATTAATTGGTGACTAAAAGATTTGAGAAAGGAATTTCTCATATTGCATTCTGGTTATATAAGTTACCTATAAAAAAAAATTTGATTGAACTGGTGAATGTGAGCAGAGCATCCAAAAGCATAAGAGGGGTTTGATATATGCAACAGTATCAACATTTGCATTTGGAACCAAGGGATTTCAGATATACAATGATACATCTTTGAAGTGTTTGGGATGTATTTCAATACAAGAACAAAAAAGTGGTTGCATATACTTCAAAATAATTTAAATCACACGAGTTGAATTACTCAGCATATATTTAGAGTTTGCTACAATAATGTTCGCTCTCAGGCTTTGGAGGGGTATGACGTGAAATATATACATATCATAAATTTGAAATATATTTTCACTCAAAAAGAGTAATACTTGAAGCAAAGAAAATCATCCTAACTGAAAAAAAATTATGACATTGATTGACATTATTATCTTAAAAAGGAAAATGTCGTAGTAAATGCCTTCAATCGCAAATTCAATGAACATATAAATGCTAACTCGAGAAACTGACCTTCCTATAGATATGGAAGCATTATAGTTGAAGCTCAAAATACAGAATGATCAGGATACAAGTAGTTTATATCAGATGATTATACATCATATTCTTGAAGAAAAAATTAGAGATTTGCAAAAGGCCAATACATGAACGCATGTGCGTGAACATCGTAGCATCGAATCATATGCCACTATATGAACCTGCCTAATGCAAATATTCATGCAAAAAAGATAACAATATTTTAAAATACAAAATATAAAACAACTACAACAACATAGCCTTAATCCCACTACGTGGGGTCGGCTACATGAATCCTTTTTCTCCATTACGTCCTATTTAGTGTCATATTTTCATTTAGTTCTAGTAAATTAAGATCATTTGTAAATTAAGATCATTTTTCTTAAGATCATTTTTCATACAATAAGCCCAAATCTTCCTAGGTCTACCTCTGCCTTTTTTTAACACAAATCGAATCTAAAACATCTACGCTCATAGTCGGAATTCGGATTCGCGGTCGAGGATAAGGTCTCCGTTCTTCTTCGCATGTTCCCGTCCTCTAATTTTGTATGTCACAGGAGCTACACCG